TTTTTGTGGGTTTTTGTTTTCTCTTTGATTTTTTGAAGACCCGTTTACACTGGGTTGAAAAGAAGTATAAAAAAACACAGAGGGAGGGTGAGGAAGAGGCAACTATTCGAGAGTTTTTGGAACAAATTCTAGGGTTTAGGCATTCATTTGGGGCAATGTTGTCAATAGTGATTGTTTTGGGGGGATATAAACAAATAGGTAAGGGACATTGATGGCAAATAGAAAAAAATAATTAATTAATTAAATAGAAAAAATATAATGTTAGGGTATAAATTAAAAGGATAATATATTGAAGAATTCGGATAAGAAAATAATAAATATACAAATGTAGAAAAATACTGGCTTACTATGGAAAGCATAAAATCCACAAAATCTCATTTCATAGTCAATATAATTTGCATGTTTGTTAGTACTATTTTAGAAGAAAGTTTACATCTTTTCTACTTGGTCAAATGTGGAAAAAAATACTGGCTTACCTGGTAATTTAATATCTTTTTTTTTTTAAACAATGATTATAATTTGAAATGGTCCATTGTCATTTTAAACAAAATATCCACTTATACAATAAAATATCATATAAACAATTATGCAAGCATGGGGGATTTTTTTATTGATATTTTTACTAATACAAAAACCAATTCTTAAACACAATTTAAACCCTATTTGGTGATTTTTGAGCTGACAAATTTTTGTAAGTATTATACTAATTTGTTACTTTTGTGAAAACGGATTGTAAATTTGAAATTTACGTTTGTTTTTGTCAATTAGACCACTGAAGCGATGGTGTGTTATTTATGATGTGAATAAGTGTTTTAAAGCGATTTAGTAAAGAAATAAAGAGGAAAGTAGAAGCAATAGTGATTGGTCGGCGAACATGGATAGGTGCACCGACGATTTTATTTAAAGATTTGGGTCGTTCTGGGACCTCTTTTTAATTTTTATACAAGAGCAGATCGAATGCTATGAAGATCTAGAAGGCATTAAGAAATCTAAGTATATTGGATGTAAGATATGAGAAATTGGATTGGATATGAATTCCATGTGTATTCGATGTGAACTAGATGCACTTTCAAGTCTTGGAGCCTTGTTATTTATATAAGGAAGACTTTTAAAATATAATATGTCCAAGGCGTGTGGCGACCTCTAAGAGGCCAGCAATATGCATGGCGACACATATCCTAGCAACTTGTCCAACTTGGACAAGTGGCTTATCTTTTTGGGCGGGGCAGTGACCTCTTCCACATTAGTACTCAACATAGATCGAGAAGGAAAAAAATCTTGTTTCTGGCCATAGTCTGGAATGAGGTTAGTGCATAGGAAGAGATCTGCTTTGAGGTCGGCGTTCTTTGCCTCGATTGACGTGTTCTTAGTACCTTGACTCTGGGGATATCGTGAGTATAAACTTTGTCGCCCATGTTGTAGTTATTTTAGTGTAAGGGAATAGAAACAAGTATTTTTGTGATTATTGATAATTTGTGAATTATCTTAAATTTCATGTTCCATATTTGAACAAAAACTCTAACATGACAACCCTTTTATAATGGTTAAATAAATAAATATATAGCCATTTAAAATATTATATATTATAGAAATAAAAAAATAATAAAACACAATAGTCATATCCAAAAATATTTTTATGTTAATCAACATTCGTTCACTAACATTCTAACCATCCGCAACTTGTAAGAGCCTTAATTTTCGCCTCCCCCCTCTCTCGCACTTGCTCACTATCGTCCCTGAAGAATCGCATTCCACTGTGGCAACTGGGCTTCGCCGATAGTCGGCCCCTAGCCGCTCGGTCGTCATTTCGATGTCGCACCTTCTCATGCCTTACGGTGGTGGTGGATCTCCAGCAGTCAAGTTCGCCTTTCTTTGCAGGTTCCGACTTTGTTTTCTGATCGACGACCTCCCAGATGTTGTGGTGGATATTTGGGCGGGGTGTGGTGTTGTGGGATGGGGTCGGGTATGGCTCCAGCGGCCAGCGGGTTCCGAGTCGAAGTGGTTGGGGCCATGGCAACCTTGTTGCTCATTTCCCTATTTCTCTAGCGCTGGGATCGGGGGGATATGTCGGGTGTTGCCGAACTTCGCTAGTGGTGTTAGCCGATTTGGTTCAACGGCGGTTTTGGGAGCAATTTTGGTGCTTTCCGACTGTGGGGCGATTCGGCTTTTCTGGAGAGTTATGATGTTTGGGGTTTGGCTCCATTAAAACCGTTTGGCAATTTTCGAGTTGTTTCGGGGTGAGTTTTCTTGGGCTGCGGGATTCTCCTTGTGTCGACTTGGTGTGTGCTGGTTCAACTCGGTTATGCTGCTCTGGAAGGGCTTGTTTGTTTGTTTGTAGCTTGTAGTTATTTTGTTTCCTTTCGTCTTTTTTGCTTTGGTCTTTAGGATTTATGTTTTTGGTTTGGGCCTATGACCTTTGTTCTTGCCCGAGTGGGAGCGCGTATTATCTTATTGGGATCGTTAATTCTCCCATATAGGAGCTTTGTAGTTTTTGTGGTGTAGTGTTTCGAGTGTTTGTTCTAGCATTGCTATGCAGGCTCTAAGTGATCTTTAGATCTGTCTACCAGTCTTTCAACGGTTGGTTGTATCATTCAGCTTTGGATTGTTTGCACTATTGTGCGTTTTATAAAAAATAAAAAAATTAAAAACAATTAAAATAAAATCGTTGACAACATCCCCTTAGATATACGGAATCAACCAAGGAAAAAAAGAAATACACAAAACACACAAATACATACACCAAATAAGTCTAATCATCAATCATCATCTCTTTACAAAAGCCTCATATTTGGAGCATTTAAAAAAAAAATAATTAAAAAATGAACCAATTTGGAATTATTCTTAAAGAACATCATAAATAGAAGAGACGATTTGTCAATCATTTAATTAGGTCCAAAGCTCTAATTTCATTGTTCAAAGTCTCTACGTACAGTGAATTGTACACCAAATAAGTTATACTTAGTTAAAAAAAAAAAAAAACTCACGTTAAATATAATTCGAATGTGGTATGCTTTTTAAGATTATTTGGATGTGGCTAATCCCATTGCAACAATAACCGGGAAAAACTCATATGAAGTCAAGTGAGGTTTCATTTCAAAACTAATTTATGGTAAAAGGAGTAGCCCATTAAATTATAAAGTAGACTTATTTTCTCAATATAAACATGCGGGACAACTCACAAGTGAATATTTTAATAATAATAATGATGCAATCCGAATATAATAGTAATGATTTAGTATTGCAACAATATTAGGTTTCAAATGAACATGTCCAATTTAAGATTACATTAATTGGAAGTTGATGTCAGGTAATGTAAGACTGAAATTCAACTTAAATAAAATTTCACTTGAATTTAGCCTTTGGATAACAGGTATGACTGATTAAAATTGATACATTATCTAGTGTAGGTGTTACGATTGATTGTTTCGTATTAAAAGACTTAGCTTTTATCTCCACGAAATAAAATAAATAATAAAATAGTGTAGTTTTTAAAATGTTCAACGTGTAATTACTGAGAAAAATGTTAATTTTCTTATAATAAAAACCAAATAAGTAATAAAATTGAAGAAAGTGTGTAACACCTAAAATTGATTTTAAAAAATTGTTAAAACTTTAATTACAGACATTAATCGTTGTTTCCAAATAAGAAAGATGACTTTTATCTCCACAAAATAAAATAAATATTAAAGTAGTTTTGTATTTTAAAATATTGAGAGTGTAATATATTAAAATTGTAGTTGCAACATAGGATTAATTATTTCAAATTTAACAAAAATGGTTTCCATCTACAAAATATTAAAATTAAATAACCTATTTTTTAGTTTGTTTTCTCAAGATATTTGATGATGTGCACGTCAAATTGACTTTTTAAAAGTAAACAGTGGGGTTAACGATGTTATCACCTTGTAACCATCGTGACACTTCTACATAGGGATGTATATATAATTCAATGGTTGCGGGTAAATGGGTAGGGCAATCGGGTCAGGTAATAGGTTTGCTTACTATACCCGCACCCGACCCGATCCGGGGTTCGAGTAGCATAATTCTACCCTAACCTGACCCGAAACCCAATCATCTCGAATTTACCCGACCCAAAAATGCGGGTAACCCGCGGGTAACCCGACCCTATGAGTTTTATTGACATCCCTACTTCCACGTGGGAGTTGCATTGTACACAAACAAAGTCCAACAAATATAGTAATTCCTTCCAAGATAGCATTTTTATGCAAAATCGTCCGTTATCACACCAAAGAAACAGAAATGCATCAAAATAGGTAGTAAATGATGAAAAAAAAA